AAATATTAAATATAAATATGAAGAATTTTAATTAAGGATCTGTGTAGAAACTTTATTTTAAATGAATTTAAAAATATTTTAAAATTTTAATTTAATTCAAGAAAAAAAAGTTAAAAAAATTTCAATGATAAAAAGATTAAAATAATCTTCACCTATTATATAAAATTATTAATTATTAATTTTCTTACTTCACTTGTTAATTTATAAATATGAGCTGCAAACTACATGAGTTGACATATCAATAATTATATAAAATTTATAATTTTTTTAATTATAAATAGCAACATTAGTTATTAAATTATTAACTTTACTTATTAATTTATTAATATCATTTATAAATTCCTGATAGATCGTGTAATTTACTAACATCAATTGTAAATTACTGACAGGTCTTGTAATTCATAACTGTTGTTGTCTTACAAACGAATGTAATTTATAAGTAATATTAATTGATAAATTAAGAAGTACAATAAGAAAATTAATAATTAATGATCCTACATAACACATGAAAAGTATTTTGTCCTTTTCACGATTAAGATTCTTTTGTCTCTTCTTTCCTAAATTGAATTAAAATTTTAAAATGTTTTTGAACTCACATGAAATTAAATATCTTCCCAGTCATTAATTAAAATTCTCCCATATAAGTATCCTAACAAAGTTATTTTCAAATTGATTCATTATGAGAAATTCAAATTAGATTTTATTTTTTTATTTTTTTTCATATAAGTCACTATGATACTTGCAATTTACAATTAAATTTATCAACTTTTTGCTATATCTCCTTAAATATTATACACACACACGCAACTGTGGATCAAATGGAAAGAGGCTATTCCATTTTTAAATATTAAGTAATAAATCCACGTGAAAAATTACCTTGAAAACAAGAAGTAAAAGGTTAAAACTTAAAAGGCATATATTCAGTGTACATTTTTGTATATGATACCAATTAGTAAACATATGTACGTTACCATTGATATTGGTCTGGCCGGTTACTAAGTGAAAGAACTTGATTATTTTTTTTTTAAACAAAGTTAAGGATTAGAAGTTTGTTAATGACAAAAGTCACTAAGAGAGAGTCATTTTCAATGAGGTATGATAATACTTAAATTTAACTCAATAATAAACATTTTTAAAATTTAAAAGATGGTAAAAAAAAATGGCAAAAATCTGTTGTTGTGAAAGGTAATCCATTGGACATAAACACATAGTTGTTTACTTATTTGGACATGTAGAAAAAAAAAATTGCACTAGTTCGATCATATCTCTTAACAGTTTCTCTTCCATAGCATTGACACTATAGCGATAACAAGAGCCTCTTTGCTTAATGACACTCTACACTCTCTTAAAAGAGAGAGAGAGAGAGAGAGGTTGCGGGTTTTATATCTCATGCAATGAAGGATGGGTGTTATGAACATGTAACTGTGTGTCACTTTTTCTTATGAGAGAAGGGTGACTCTTTACTACGAGACAAGGAATATTATATAGGTGCATGTAGGCGCTTGTATTTGATTCCTTTAAAATAAAATAGAGTGATAACAAGAGAGATAGATGATAAAATTTTTTACCCCTTAACTTTACATCAATTATCAATTTAATCTCTCAAATTTAATTTTTATCAATCTGATTCTTAAAATTTGTATTAGTTATTGATTTAGTTTTTATCATTTAGAAAGAAGATAACATTGTTAAAATATTGATGGCAACTATATAGATTGATGAAAAGAAGTTTAATTATTCATGTAGGATAAAAATAGACTCTCAAATTTCAAAAAGAAAAAGAACAAAACATATGTAAGGAACTAAATTGATAAAAATTAAATTAATTTGTGAACAAACTTTTCTTTTTAACTTTGCTACATATACATTTAGAGCTAATAATTCAAGTCAAGCCCAATCCTGCCTAGAAAAAAGTTAGGGCAAACTTAGTTATATGAGTTTTTCTAATAGAGTAAGATACTTTAAATTCAATCCAAATAAGTTCAGCTTAAATATGCTTGACTACTAAAATTTCCACCTCTATATGTATGTAGAATCAATAATGTTGGCCAAGCCCAGCAGGGCAACTTGAACTTGATAAAAAAAAAAAATTAAGATTGAGTTTGGTTATATGAACTTTTTTAAATGAGGTAAGATATTTAAACTCGATTCAAATAAGTCCAACCTACTTGAATAATCAACTCTATATGCATTTCATGTTATTAATATATTTTACTTATTAGATTAATTTGAGAGACAAATTGTGTTTAAAAACTTAAAAAGGCGGACATGATAATTTAAAAAAACATAAGAAAATAAATTGAGAAAAATTAAACTCGAATAATGAAATTAATAATTAAGACAAATTTAAAAAATTGAAAATTTTATTACCCATGTGATGTTGACATTTTGACATTTTTGCAGTAGTGTTACGCAATTTATGTAAACTTTGGACAATGCAGACATTATTTTAAAAGATTATTGTAAACAACAGAAATAGGATGAGGAGAAAAATGAGTGAGAGGTAGGAAGTAACTAGGGAGACATTATTTGGTGGTGTGATTAAGAGGGGAAGGAAGAGATGAGAGTGTGGTTTAAGCAAAGCCTTGTCGTGCCACCACGTTCTCTAATTGACCCCTCACCCATAAACATCCACCCGAACCCGACTTTCTATCTTCATGTTTTGTTCACATCGCCATTATATATATATATATATATATATATATATATAAAGAGGTGCCTCTTCCATGTGATTTGGTATGGTCTATTATGGCTTTCAATTCAATTCATGACTATGTGATGACACGTTTATGTTTACTTTTTCACTCATTTCGCCTATCATCTTTTCGCATTAAAGATAATATAATTTTGGTAAAACATAACTTTTGTTTTCTATTTTATTATAAATTTATGTACCTTTTTTTAATATGTTGGGTCCTTACAGTTTTATTTTTTAATATTTTAAGTTCTTAAATAATCAAAATAAATAAAGTGTAGAAACCTTAAAATGAATGTAAAATACAAAAAATGAAAGTGTAGGGACTCAGAACGCCGAAAAAAATATAAAAATTTATAACAAAACACAAGCAAAGTACAAGAACCAAAAGTTATGTTTTTCTTATAATTTTTAACTAACAAATGTTAAGTTTAGTGGAAAGGATTAGTCTTATTATAATGTGACGGAACAAGAATTGAATTTTTATTGAAAGAGATATTCATATTTCATGCACAATCGTTCTTTGAACGGAATGATCTCCAATAGGAAAATACTCTTGAGCAATCAAAAAAAAATTATACAACTTTTAGTTTTAAATTATTTTAGTTATTAATTTAGTTTTTGAATTTTAACTAAATACAAATCTTGTCCTTATAATTTATTGTGTTAAGAAATTTTAACTGTTGAATTGTACTATCAAGTAAAAAAACTATTTAAAAAAATGAATTGTTATGAGTTAAGAAAATATAAATATTGAGTTATTTTGATAAAAAATTTTAAAAAATAAATTGATATTTAATAAAAATTTCAAAGAATAAAAATAATATATTTTTTAATTTATATATTTTTTGTGTGAGCACCCGATGTCATAAGCCTGCCTCACTGGAGCTGTGAGGACTTAACAGTGCCCAGACTAATCCGGATCAAGGCATGACAAGCACCACAAAGGTGGGCATCCTTAGTTACTTACACTGCTACATTTTAAAGACTCAAACTCGAGACCTTTAATTAAGAGGGAACAACTCTTGTCAGTTAATTCAAGTACTTGTAATTTAATTTAATTTATATTTTTCAAGAACAAACATCATCCACGTCACAGGTGAAACAAAGTATGCTTGGCCATTTTCATTTCCTTAAAAAAAATTATTTTAGTCATCTCATTATTTCCCTTTCAAAAATCAATTCAAAATTTTCTTTGCTCTATTATGAAATGATGCTTAGAATATTTTTCTTGTGCACCACAAAAAGGCATTAAATGTATACACACACACGGGTAAAGCCAGAATTTTTAATTAAACAGGCCAAGATTGCAAAGCATGTATGACAATGTTATGTGTACGTGTATATAATCAACATAATATAAATATTTTAACATATTTATATTTAATTTTATAAATATGCAACCAACATAAGTTAATAATATACATTTAAGAGTAGGGCAATATTATTATTCTTGTTGCTAGATAAATGAATTTACATAAAAAATAGGATTAATGGTCATTTTTGTTCATGAACTATATACAAAAGATCACAAATGTTCTTAAATTCAATTATGAGTTAATTCTGTCTTTCAATTTTAAAAATTTCTTTTCTTATTATGCTGTCATTTTCTCATTATTAGTTAACTGATAGTCAACCTTACATTATATTTTTTTAATATTTTTTATTATAAAATATTTGAGTTGAAGGGCAAAAATAACTCTTCAAATAAAACTTGAGTGGCAAAATGACCTTTAACTTGATAAAAAATATTAAAAAAATAGTAAAATTCATTGATGACTAATGAATGTTAAATGTTTTTAACATTAAGATAATGACAGAGAAAATTTTTAAAGTTAAGATACAAAATTAACCCATAGCTGAGTTTAAAGACATTTGTGATATTTCGTATATAATTCAGGGATAAAAATAACCTTTAATCTTAAAATATACTCATATATTATTTACTCCCTTTGCTCCTATTTATAAAGCAGAGAGAGAAAAAATTTTTGGTCTTATTTATAAGTTATATCATTAAATTTTCATCACAAATTTTCTATTTTATCCTCCATTGTTGGAAAGAGAGAATATGTTGTTAAAATATTTATATTTAATAAAAAAATATTTAAAAACTTATTAAATTTTAAGATAAAGTTAATGATTTTTTTTTTGCGAGTATTATGTAATAAAATAAAAAATAAATTTAAGTAAAAATAGAAATTACATGACTAAAACACCAAGGACAAAAACCCTCTTATACATTATACACTAATATAACAAAGACAAGAGCCCAGCAAATACAAAACCGCTCTTTTAAAATATTGGGCAAGGGCCGCGCGAACGCAGGCCCCCACTTTCACAAATTATGACGTAGGCTCTATCATTTGGATAGACCTTAGACAGACACCCTTTCTAAGTGCAATGAAAGTTATCAGCCTAGGCCATGGGCCCTCGTGATCACCCATTGACCCCGTCCAGGTAAGTATGTTGTAACTGTTGGCCTCACCTCTCTTTTATCTGCAGAGATTCCCATTGTAATCTTTAGTCTAACCGGTGTGGGACTTTTGAAGCTTCATATCATTATATTCGCCTTTATTCTCTCTTCACGTGGTGAATCCCACCATGGACCCAATCAAGTGGATCTTATAACACCTAACGCAATAAATATAAACACACTTCGTTAATCACTGAACTAATTCTTTGGTTTTAAATTCGTTATGAGATCTTATAGACATTTACATTGAAATTTGCTAAATTCTAAAGATATAGGTGTCAAGAATATTTCTTGAATTAGTCGGTATTGACAGCATTATTAACCTCCTTAATTTTTTTTAACACTTGACTGGGTTTTAATTAAGCGCCTTTGGATCACGTTAATATGATGAAACTTGAAGCAAAACTTCTTCCATAATTTCTCTGTCGTGTTCTGCACACATAAATAGAATGTACAAATATGCCAGAGAGTTAATATATTTAAAAGAAAAAACATAATTTTAAATCTTTACACTTCATTCTTATTTTGCCATTGATCTTTGCATTTTTTCTGTATTTAGGTCCCTACAAAAGTCTAAGAATATAAACTACTGAAAAAAAGTGGAAGGATCAATGACAAAGCGTATTTTAAATACAGCGACTTAAAGTTATATATTTTTTATTTAAAAACAAGAAAGTAAGAAAGTAAAGCATATAATATTATGAACGAGGAAATATTTGCAAAACGCAGCCTAATTAATTGTCTCAAGCAATAAAGATTATGAAAATTAAGATATAAGAAATAGCAATACCTCCTTCAACTTCGGATTAGTTGGGAACAGTATCGCACTAATCACACCTGAAAAATATGGCCGAAGGAAACCTAACAGTCAACAAAAATGTTTTTTCGCCCCTGCTGGGCCTGAAGTTTAAGAAGGCCGAGCCTATATGTAAAATTTCATAATATGTTTCAGATTCGTTCTAATTTTTCTAACCAAAAGCCGACCAAGTTCATAGGCCTAATCCAATGATGAAGGCCCAATATAACCACCCTCTTTTTGTTGGTCAAGGAGCAATATCCTACGTAAGCTTCTATGAATGGAGCTTTAAATGGCCCGATATAAGTGGACCCAGGCTTCAAACCCATCATCGTAAATGATACATCAAACTTCCTTGGGCCAAAAGAAAAGCATCATCATTGACCACTTGACCGAATTGACTAAAATCAACGTTACATATACTAATAAGACCCAAACCAAAATCAGTGGTTGGGCCTAAATCCAAGCCCATTCTTTGAGTAAGTTTACTATAAAGAAAACCTAATTGTGCATTCTAGGGTTTTAGACTGAAGGAGCTGTGGCTATCTGTCGACTGCTTCGCTGAACCAGGCATAGCCGCATCGGTCCCTTGAATCTCAGCTTCGAAGATGGTACGTAGTTATCGTGTTATCCTCTCTTCATCTCTTTTCCTTTTGTGTATTCACTAAATGTTTGTATCTTCAATGCTCAGAGTTTTGTTGGATGAGCTGAAATTTGTAGATTTTAGTTGATAAATTTGTCTGCTTCTAATGAATTCTTAGACTTCGAATCTGCCCTTTTTATATTGTTTAGATTGATTTGGTTTTAGAAATGTAATTGGAATTCTTTTTTCTTTTGTTTTGTTAAGTCTTTGGTGGCGAACGAGGATTTCCAGCACATTCTTCGTGTTCTGAACACAAACGTAGATGGGAAGCAGAGGATTATGTTCGCTCTGACCTCTATCAAAGGTATCGGCAGGCGATTCGCCAATATTTGCTGCAAGAAGGCCGATATTGATATGAACAAGAGGTTCGATTACATAGAAATTAACTCCTCTTGATTTGTCTTTAAGTTCTGTTTGATGATTAGGACGACGGTTCTATCGTTGACTGACTTAGGGTTTAAATCATATGCTCTATGTGGTTTTTATTTTTAATGTTTGATTGGAAGGAAATTAAAGCTAGCTAGTTTGGTTATTTTACTATCAGGGCCGGAGAATTGAGTGCTGCTGAGTTGGATAATCTCATGACAGTGGTTGCGAACCCTAGGCAGTTCAAGATTCCGGACTGGTTTTTGAACAGGAAGAAGGACTACAAGGATGGCAAGTATTCTCAGGTTGTGTCAAATGCATTGGATATGAAGTTAAGGGATGACTTGGAGAGGCTGAAGAAAATCAGGTAAATACGATTTGGATTATAGCTTTAGCTTTGTTCATCTATTCTTCGCCAAATATTCATTTTGTTCTGTGCAAATAATTGTCTTCTGTTTGTTTATTTAATTTTTTAAAATTACAATGCACACTTTATTGTTGAATCTGTAAATACATTGTGCTCATCCATAAACGTAACGGGCTCCAATTCTCAGTTGCCGTGTGCTGTGTGCCATCTTGTTTGGTTTATAGTTTATCTCATATGTAGCACAAATCTGAACAGGCTCCAGACACAGTAAATAACTGAATGTATACCTGGGAATTGTTTTTCCCTTTTTTGCGTTGATTTTTGTCAGTATAGGCTTTTCAGTTTTCATAATTGGATTTTATTTTTGGTGGAAAAATTATGTATACCCAAGAATATTACTCTTTGTACTGTTTCATTCTATTGGAACTCGTGATCAGTCTTGTTTTAAGCTTTTTGCCCGAAGTTATATGTACCATTTTGAGTTTGATTTGTTTATTTCCACCCATAACCCCTAGACCATTTCTTCAATTTCCTTGGAATGCTATTTTGTGAACTCGATTCTGGCAAGTGAAAATTACAGATTTAGTCTAACATCTGAAACTTTTGTATGCAGGAATCACCGTGGTTTGAGGCACTACTGGGGTCTTCGAGTTCGTGGACAGCATACCAAGACTACTGGACGTAGGGGCAAGACTGTTGGTGTCTCTAAGAAGCGTTGAGCTCTTGTTTTAGTGGTTTATTTATTTCAAAGAATTAGATATAGGGTCGGATAATGCAGTATTTTTTGTTTTCGGAGTGCAGTCGAATTTTGTTTATGTTTGAATGCTGTTTGTTGTTACTAGCCATTTGACATGACTCTGAATCTGTTGCTTGTGCTTGAAATGTCTAGTCAGCCATATCTACACTTGTCCATCTTCGAAGCTATTTGGTTTTGGAATTAAGAAGTGGAGGTAATGGAATATTTTCTTTATGGCTTTCAGTAAGTTTTGTCGTTTAATAATTAATGTGGTAGAAAATGCATCAAGAAACGGAATAAATGAACATTGGCTCTCAGATTGACAATAATCCTCTAGTTTTATTTATGGGACAGGCATAGAAAAAAAAATGAATTTTATTTATAAAGCATTTGTCAATTTTGAATACTCTTCTTTTTATTTTTGCTCTTATTAAATGTTTTGAATAAAAATACTAGTAATATGATTTAAGAATATTAATTTGGGGTAGAGGTGAAAAGTAGTTAAAATTTCAAGACAGTTAATGAGGTTAAAGGGTTTTTTATTTATTTATTTTGGTTTCCTTATATCGGTTCAAATGGTGGAGAGTCAAGTTTGGTCATTGTGAGGTTTGGGGTTTGAGTTTTAACGCTTGTAGTTGTGTTAAATAAAATATGTCAGTAGTTTTCTTGAGATACTTGTGAGGATTATTGGTAATAATGGTTTTGCGCATTAAGGGTTTAGCTTAGTCTAGGTGAGGATGAGAGCAATATCTTCAGGTATTTGATGAAATATGGAAGAAAATGCATCAAGAAAAGGAATAAAAGACGCACAAATATCACTCGCAGTTTTGCCTAGCACGATAATATAACTCAGTTTATGCCTGAGTTGTTTACGTGAGCTAAAGATTGGTGGCGCCACCTATAGTTTCGTGTAAATTGAAATTTACGATCAAGTCATAAGCTACCTATCGACAGAGCATTGGTTTGTATTAAAACTGTTTTCCAAATTTTAATGATATAAACGCACACTACTTTACGTCATATTAACTATGTACATTTTTCAACACACGTTAATTTGTGATATGTATCAGATGAATCCATGCCTTTGGAGGGTTGATTGAGGTATTTTTGTTCCAGCTGAAAAGTTAGTGGAAGATGCTATCTACGGGGGCTTGAATGTGACTTGCTATTGCTTGTAGTCGTTCGAGTAACAGTAAGCCATACATATAATAAAATCAACCAGGACAGTGGCTGTCCCATAAGAATGAATCTGATTGCTAATATAATCATCTTATTGATGGATAATTAGTAGTTGCTTTGTGAACGTTCTTGAAGTCATGGAACCTGTGTTGACTTTAGTGAGTTAGGAGACTTGATCATTTTAAACTTGTCAATGAAATCCACCTACGAAGCCATTGAAGATAAAAAAGGCAGAATTAATTGTAAAATTTGGTCAATTATTTGGAAATGACCCACCTATAAAACAATCAAATCTTTTCTTTGAAATGCTATTTGGGATAGGCACCAAACTAACTTTGTTAGTTCCAATGAAGCAAACCCCCACCAAGGAATTTGCCCTTTTGGATGCAATACCCTGGATTGAAAATCCACATCTTGCATGATTGTACTAAATTTGAAGTATTGTTGAAAGTTGTCAAATGATCTAAATTTCATACTTTTTTCTCTTCCCTTATAAGATTGGATTCTTTAAAATGCAAAAACTAATGTGGGAGGACCAAACACAAAGAACTCCATAATAGAGATTTTTCACTCACTTGTGTTGGAATATTTAGAAGGAAAGATGCAAAGCAATCTATTTTTAAGAAGAGTATTTTATTAGAGACATCACACTCTTTTGTACCTAGGACAAAATCAATGACATCAACCTTCAATCAAAATTTAGTTGCATGTCTCGAGATTATCATAGATCCCAAGCAAGATAGTTTCCACCAAATCCTAAATGGGTTAGACTCAATATTGATGACTTATGAACATCAATTGTATTATAGCTTGTGGACAACTCATTTGTAATGAAAAAAAAAAATTAGATTACAGGTTTATCTAAATATCTTAGTACTCTAACACTGTTGTCAAATTTTGGCCATCCTTAAAGGTCTTATTATCTTTTGTTGGGATAAAAAATTTACCAAAGTCAATATTTACTTGAATTCACTTGAAATTTTTTCACTTATTTAGCACGATTTCATCCAAAACTATCCTCTCTCTTGTTCTATCATCAAAATCAAGAACTTTACCTTGAAAACTAGATGATAACTTTTAATCATACCTATAGAGAAGTAAATAAATGTACTTATTGACTTGTTGATCAGGCTTTGGGTGAAAATTTAGATTCGTTGATCAGCTTGTTGACTATAAAAGTCTTTTAAGTTTTGACATGACTTAATTGTTGTTTCTGCACGGTTTATTGTGGCCTTTTTATCCAGGAAAAAAAACCACTTTTATACACTAAAAAGGACGTATAAACTGAAATTACTTGCAAGGGGTGGCCGATCCAATTGATCTTCGGGCTTGATTTTATTGATGAGTAATTTTAGACATTATCCTTGTGGATAGGCCTGTTATCCACCCCCCCCCCCTTTTTTCTTGGTTTTTTTTTGGGTTTTTTTATAGTTGGACAAAAAAATCTGAACTACTACTAATAGCAAAATCATTGCGGTCCTGGACAATTGGCCTGTTCTAATGTGTGAATCTCACAAAACCAAGTGACTTCAACTCAAAAATACAAAGGGAAGAAAGAAATCAAGCTGCTAGATGACCAGATTAATTGAACATTTCAAGCAATTATGAGGCTTATTTTAGTGAGCATTCTCAGACAAAACCCTTCATGTAGCGAGAGTGAGACAAAACGCTTTACATCACTCTTAGAATCACCATTCACAAACAAGGAGGCCAGAATGCACTCCCCCCCCCCCCCCCCAAAAAAAAACTCATTCGGAACTTTTCCTCTCTCTAAAACAAAACGGAAACTTTCATCAAAAAAATGCACTGTTTTGGTTGGTTAAATTAGTGCTCTTCAAATAAAACAAACACAGGCTTGCCCGTTCTCGAGACTCCACCAAATCTTACTAGCTTTCCAAAGAATGATAGAGTCAATAATTAGAACAGAGCAAGCCTTCAGACTAAACTTAAAATACCAAAACATCTAAGCTTATATAACCAAATTTGACCATAACACTTAAGCCTTTCAAGATGGCCTAAATACCCAAATTATTAAATATTATTTTATTTTATTTTATTTTTTCAGTCAATTTTGAATTTTATCTTTAAATTTATATTTTTCCATTATCTTATTTTAATTTTATTTCATTAATAATTAAAGAGGATTCAGATCTTCAAGTTAAGCCTATTCGAATTCAAGACTTGGATTTCTTCCAGTGGTTCAAATAAGCCCAAAATAAAATAAAAAATCTAAATTCTCAAAGCTAACCTTGAAATTTTTTGGATTTATTCCAACTGACTCATCAGATTTAACCCAATTTATTGGCCCTAGATGGTACTATACTTCAGCCTAACTAATTTATGTACTATTTAATGCCTCCGGGCATCTTTTATATAATTAATTAGTTGTTAAAAAAAAAAAAAACACAGCGCTCTTCCATTCAAAGTGCAATGCATTATTTCACCTGGTTACAATACAAGACAAGACAACCAGTTTATGGTCTCCGTTCAGTGCCACTTTCATATATGGTTGTAAGACCATTTCAAATGTGTTGTTGAATTACCCTATTATTATGTTCAGAAAGTGCAGCACCTTAAAAACAGTAATTGCTATACCATTTTTTTAAAATTAAAAAAAAAAAAGACTAATGGCGGTGATATTGCAACAGACAAGATCCATTTTTTCCTTGTGTCTTCACAGCAGCTGAAGATATATATATATATTTTTCACAAAAAATACCATTGATATGGAATTTTTGGAGCGAAACTGAGGACTATTAGACATCAAGCTACTTAGAGATACTCTTAAGCAAGTATCCTAATAAAGTCATGCTAAGCTACAGAAAAGCACTACAGGCTAAGTAAGTATGATTATTGCTTAACCTTGAGACTGGATTCTACCCGTTCAATCAGCTGATCTGCGGTCAATGCTCCCTCCTGAAAATCATCAAACTCTTGTTATTGCATAGCCAATTTAAAGTTTGCCAATCTGGCAGGGGGCAGATTGAGGTAGAGAGATTTTATACTTCTTAGGTTTTACTTAATAACAATATTGCATAGCCACTAAACAAGGCATATAAGAAGCACTTTCTATGTAAATAACAGATTAAACACAAGGGGGGAAAAAGAACTAGTTTGACAGCGGGTAAATTTCGTCAGAAAATTTAAATTAGTATGCTGAAAGAATTTGATGATACTAGGAATATAAAGGAACATTATGCAGGTTTGGTCTACGTTGGAAACTATCAAAACCATACAATATTGTTAGAGTGGGTAGTATAACTTCAAGTGGCCAATATCCCATTTTAGTCAAAATCAAGAAATCACATTATTACACCACATGAATGTTCTATCAGTGTTGTCCAACGTAGAGCAAGGTGGTATGCTTCCCAAACTGCCAGGTGTTTCTCCTATTGTAGTTTACACCAACAAATTGAAACAAATTAGGAAAAAAGAAATTCTTTAGTTAATCTACCTTCTCTTCCTACACACATAGATCACTCCCACCCATCAGTGTTAAAAAATTTCATCACTGAAATATGATTGTTGAATTTGAATATAATATTCGAATATTTGAAGATTCCTTGATAAAGGAACAATGAAGCTGAAGTTTACTTCAAGTGCTGTTAGTTTTTTTGCTAACTTGACTTCAGCGAATGAGAAAAGAATGCAATAACAGGCTTCTCGTAAACCGAAATGATTTCTCTCTTTCCTTTGACCACTTGGCAATCAGACAAAACTTTATTAGTTCATGACCTTTAGCAATCATACAGGCATCAGTCATCCACAGCTAAATAATCATCCAAAATAAATTCCAGCTTTTATGCCACCTAGAAATTTAAATTTAAGATCAAGGATAATATATAACTAAACTGCAAATTTTCAGCAACTTTAGAGTGGTCCTAACCATAGGGTATCTCAGAAGATTTCAAACCGATAAATACCTCCATGCGTATGAAGCATCTAATTTGAAGTTCAAAACTACATGTTCTATAAGAAAATGCCAGGAGTCCATGGCAAAAGCTACAGTGAAGCTCCGCATATTTAAAAACGTTGAGACACAGTTTACCACAAAGAGGCGGACAGGGAGAGAAGAATTCAGATGAAAGGAGAAGATAGAATCCAACTTACAAAACGATCAAAAGGTTTTCCATCCTTAAAGATTATGAAAGTAGGCAATGCTTCAATTCTGTATTTGTCAGCAATGCTTGGATACTTTTCTGTGTCAACCTTCGCTACTTGTATGACATCTTTAAGCCGAGTACTTACTTCGTCAAGTACAGGAACCATGAATTGACAAGGACCACACCTGGAAACCATGCATTCGTTTTAACACAAGTTTGGATTTTGAGATATGGAAAGTTATGATTTGTATCAAATAATACAAGTTAATGTGCACATTACCCACAGGAGAGACAAGAAGAGAATAAATTACCAGGTTGCATAAAAGTCAACCAACACAGGTTTTTCAGAATTAGCAAGCAAATCATCAAATGTGGAAAAAGTTTGTTTCTTTGCCTTAACCTACAAAAACAGATTTTTAGAATTGCTTGTCAGTTGTTCGCTGACAGATTCTGCCAATCACTGCAGATGCCAAAAAACAGAACACAAAGAAAGTCAGAGCAACTAGCATAACTGTATATTCCATTAAATAGGGAGCACCGATCTGAATTACTTCACTTTGATGTACCATGTACATACCAGATATGAACCAGAATTAAACGGAATTATAAGAATTAGAAAGAGGTGCCAGATCATCAGCCATCCATGGAATTAATAGAGAGAATCGTGCAGAAAGTTCTAAATAAAATATCAATACACTCCACATCTTCAGAAAATTTAACTGAAATATCAAGGATCAAAATTTTAATAATCTGACAAATAAATAATCATAGTGCCCTTGTCACTAATGCTGCCGGTAAAATAGGAAATGAGAGAAGATAACTAAAATACTAAACTATCATCTTGCACCACCACATTGCATCCCTCAAGACCCTATTTATAGAGATACTAACTTAAATACCCAAACTACTCATAATTCCCCTAACTATCCTTAACTATTCCTAATTCCCATCTATCAACTATCCTTTCGAATTTTACCCATGTAGTCACTTTTTCTTTCCAGAACCTTCACAAGAAAAGTTTGTTGAATTGTCTCAAATTATCCAAGCCAGTTATGCTAATCTGAAATATCTATATTTTAGTAGGTTCAAATTTCTGACTTGCAGTTAATGCTCCGACAGTTAGAATTGATATGCAGAAGCAGGTAAATATAGCTTATTGGATAAAAGGGGATTTTTTTTTGTTTTTGTTTTTTGTTTTTAATAAAACCATGGTTTAAGCTCTCAGAATTGATTATTTTAATTATCCAATTCCAAACAGGCACAGAGGCATTGTAAATTCAACGGAACCCACAGAAAAATCATAAATGATTAGGGGCGAAAGCAAGTAACCCAAACTAGACAACGAGGTATTGAATATCGGAATGAATAATTTTAAGTAACGATAAAAACCCACGAGCCCAATCAGACAATCTGGGAGAAGCACGTATAAAACTCTTCACAGGAGTTCTACTCAACTCACCCTCCCTCTCAGCACACACAACAATAAGGTAAAAGGCAAATGGAATTACTTCCAATAAAGGCAACAACTGTTACCAGAGGAAGAATCCGAGGCCGCAAGGAAGTGACAACTCCAACGCTTCCATTTCGAAGAAGACGAGTCCGTGTAGGAAATTGCAGTGATGAAAGAAAAGATAGTTTTATCGAAGAAGGAGATACCGCTGCAGAAGCAACTCCGAACCGCGTCGAAAGGTCGGAGTTCAAGCAAACAATCTTGGAAGCTGAAACTGAGACTGCCATCGAAAGAGAAGATAATCCGAAACTCGAAATCACCTCAACGAAATGTGTTCGGACAATCAGATAGCGAAAATGAGAAAGAAAATATCTGTTTGTTCAGCGAGAAGAGAAAGAATATCTCTGAAATTTCTGAATAATTAAACAAAAGTTTTCTCGTCTGGACCCTGGATCTCCCGCTTTCTCGCCGTCGTCACGTCGTCTTATAAATCTATTGAATATAACTAAACAAATTTTAAATTATAAAATATTTTTAAATAAAAATTTTTATATTAATAAATTTCATTAAATATAATTAATAATTTTATCTTTTTAAAATAAAAATATAAACTTTTAAAAATATTAAAAATTAATTATAAATAAAAATAATAATATTAAAATTAATACATTTAATGAAATTTTAATTTATTTAAAATATTTTATATTTTAAAATAAAATTTAAAAAAAAAAATGTCTCATGCTTTAAAATAGAGAGAGTAATAATAAAAAATAGTCGCAAATATTTTTCACATGGGAGGAAGGAAATGACATCGTACTCACGCTAGGTGCTACAATACGACGATGGATTAATGGATTGTGAAAATGTATTTTGATCAGACGATGATGCTAAAGCGGAAGTAATTTTTTTAATTAAACGTCACTTAAATACAAACAATTTGTATTTGGGTCAAACAAATACTTCATTTAATTATAATATAAGTCATTATTAATTAATTTATATTTATATTTTTAAAATAAATTAATTAAAATCTTAATTTTTTTAAAAAATTCATACATTTCTAATTTTGTTTTTGGATAGAATAACTATAATATTTAACTTATTTAAAATATTTTCGTTAATTCCTTATATGTAATGTAAGAAAACAATGATATAATTAAAAAAGTATAAATAATAATATAATAATAAAAAATAAAAATGTATAAAATTTTAAATATATTTTTATATAATAAATTTAAAAAGTAATGTTATGTTATTTTTTTTTCATAAAAGATAATTTTAAAAATATATTTTAAACATTACATTAAAAATCGTATTATAACTTATAAATGAAATTTAATATATTTTTTAAAATATGATTTATAAATGAGATGAGTATAACTTAACCCTTAATTTCCCTTCACGGCTCTCCATGTTCTTTACTCTTTTCTCGCCAAACTGAAATGTTTTTTTATTTTTTGTGATAAAGATGAAGGCCGAACTGGAATGGTTTTTCGGTAATAGGCCGAACTGGAATGTTGGCGGCGAAAGGAACTGTTTCCACATATATTAGGCGGCAAGCCCTGAATGGGCCATGGCCCATTGAAAAACAAAAAGTGCTACCCATTTTCTATTTTTTTGGTGCATTGTTTTAATATAATTATATATATATATATATTAAAAAAATCCATTTGTTCTATTATTTTTATTTTTATTTCTCTTAAATTCCATTTTATAAATAGATTCATAGACAATCAAAAAATTTAATAGATTGAATTATATTCAGGTATTTTGCTCAAAAAAATCTTCATAATATCAAGATATTTATAGTATGTTAAGTTAGAAATATATCTTCAATAATTTAATTTAATTTCACATAATATTATTTATTTTTATCCTTTTCTGAAAAAGATGACTTGGGATAAAATTTTTCAAATTTAAGCCCAATTTAATTTCAATTAATTACTAATGTATTTTATTTTCTTAATTTAAATTTTTGGGATGTTATATTTATTATTTGCTTGGATGGGAAAAGCCGGAAGCGTTTATCATGATGGGATGTGATTCCTGTTAAACTCTCAACCCATTGTAGCATAAATCTTGACAAAAGATAAACCTCTTCCTCTTATGTTAGTATGCTCACATGGTTTATTTTTTGTAAGAGACTTCTCTCTCTACATAATTAGGAGTATTTAGAGAAAATAAGTATTTAATGCTTTTAAAAATATGTAAAATTTATTATAAAATGATAAACAAATTCTGAAAAAGTCTTTTATAAAAGGGAAAAAAAAAAGAGAAAGGAATGCATAATTAAAAGTTGCTAGCGTGCAGTTTTTGGCTCAGCACTTCTAATTCTAAATATTATCGTTATTACTACTACTGTTACTATTTATTTTTTTGGCCAAGTTATTATTACTATTTATGAAAACAAGTTTTATAAATGAAAAGGAAAAACTTGCTCATGAAGTTTTATCTTCACATAAAATGTAACCTTTTGTCATCCTTATTTTAACAAGTTTTTTAATAGAAAAAATGTGAGAATTCTTTTCACAAATCAACTCCACAATATCAATGACGTTTTTGTTGGAAAATGGTATCTTATTACTTCTTTAGCTTATAAAGGAATACTCCCTTCAATTTAAGATATTTAAAACATTTTTAATTTTTTTTTAAAAATATTATTATATTGTTTTATTTGTTAATAAACATCTCAACTTTTTAATTGTACCTTATTAATTAAAAAATAATAAAAAATTATCCTATTGTTTATATGATTACTTTCTTAAATTAAATAGTAAAATTGAAAAAGTACTTCTTTTATTTATTTGACACTATAATTGGGATCACTTTGTGTTGTTCTAAAACATCTCCTCAACTCTTATATAAATAAAGCCAAATTAGTAAATTTATTTTTGGATAAACAAAGTAAGGAATTAGCCTATTAGGTATGTAATATTATATATTTGTTAATTCATCACCATCATTTAACATCACAAATTTTAATTTTAAATTGCTTAAAAATAAATGGTATATAATTTATTTATTTTCTTCTTCACGTTTAATAATTCAGAATTTTTGCAATCCATAGTCTCTGGTTTATACTGAAAAATCTATCATCATGGAGCTAAACAAAGTCTTTTTTGGCAATACATAATTGCATTAATGTAAAAATAATACTCATATACCTAATCCGTTTGCCTACAAGTTAAATAACTTAAATTTAGAACTGAACAAAGTACATGATATTTTTTCTGTAAATCATTAGAATTTAAAAAACTAATTCAGATTAAAAAAAAAATACAGTACAATACTATTCTTTAAACACGTGGTTTTCTTCCTTCATGGCGATTCACACCAGCCGTTGCCATGAGTTTCAATAACCCTTCACTCATACATGCTTGGCCAATGGTGTCAGTGAAAGCTACATGCAGATTCTTCCAAGTTAATCGGAATTCCAAAGATTGATCTTAGCCCTTCCGAGTCAATTGATGTTTCAATAATTGACCGTAGCTCTGGTGACAATTGATCCATAGGATCTGTAATTTCATTTGCTTGAAAAGATGCCATTGCTATAACTTCACTTGACTGAAACGGTGTATGAATCATGCCTGTATCTTCATTGAATTGAAAAGATACATCAATTGATGTGTCTGTAGCTTCAATTAATTGAGAAGGTATTTGTATCAACAGAATGTCAGTAGCTTCATTTGATTGAGAAGGTGTTTGAATTGCTATGTCTGTAACTTCATTTGATTGGAAAGGTGTTTGAGTTGCTATAATTGTAGTTTCGTTTGATTGGGAAGGTGTTTGAATCACTTTGTCTGCAACTTCTTTTGATTGGGAAGGTGTTTGAATTGTTATGTTTATAGTTTCGTTTGATTGAGAAGGTGTTTGAATTGTGTCTGTAGTTTTATTTGATTGGGAAGGTGTTTGGGAAGAAATTTGAATCCTCAAACCGGTATCCTTCATTTGACTATTTTTTTCTTTTATTTTTTTCTCATGTTTCTTCTCCAATCTACAAAGAACATGAGTTCTCTGCAACAATTGAAACAATAAGTTAGCATTCTGTTGTCAAAATAAGAGCATAGAACAGAATTGACAGCAATCATCAACTCAAAAGAAATTGACAAGAATTGACAGTAAACAGCTGAAAATGAATGACAAACATTAATCACCAGACGGCAAACATTGAGATTTGTTGAAATTAAGTCATAAAACTCGCAACATAACCAATAATAATATTAAACAACAAAGTCAGAATTAAAAAATCTACATCCACACTAAACACAGTGGCAAGACAGTTTTAAAGCCCAAAAAATTAAATTGATAAACAAATAATTGATGAACATTATTTCAACTGACCTGATTGGATGGAAGCATAATATTATGATATTCATGAATGACCCAATTGCTCTTTATTTTATGAGAAAAACGTCCTTCATGAAAAACTAAAATCCTTTTTATCCCAATGACATTGTTGGTGTCTCGATCACAAATATTTCTGTCTTTGCCGGTGACTTTCCAGAAGCCAGCCGACGTTGTCCTGTTAAACCGAGTACTTTTAGAGTACTTATAATCGCAACGGGTGAAGAAATAGCATTCCGAGTCATCGAACTCGGTCACCGACGTCGCTGAAGCCCAAGCTGAAGAAGAAAGCAAAATCGAACGCCACAGGGTAAGATTGCGAAGTATTAAAAAACAAAAATAAAACGAAAAATTAAAGTAGGATACCTAATAAATCCCAGGGTTCGAACTTGCAAACGTCAATCTCGGGGATGGCGGCGTAAATGGATGGATTATCAATCTTCAATCTGTGGTGAAGGTAGTAGGCGACGAGCTCTTGCTCGGTCGGACGGAATCTGTATCCCACCGGCATACGTTTCCGCTTCAAAGACGGATCCGCCATGGTTGCGTTGGAAAGGGCAAGCGGAGAGTTTGAAGGAGACGATGTTGCTTGAGGTGATTAAACGAGAGGGCGAGAGAGAGAGAGGTCGCACTTGTGAAAGCGCAGAGAAAGCACTCGGAGCGACTGAATCACTTGAAGCTTCACCTTGACAACCCACCAACTCATTCTTTTTATAAGGAGTCATGAATAAGTAGTGAAAATTAAGATAAATTAAAGGGAGAATTTTAATAAAAGATACTCAGTTTTATTTATAAATTATATTTTAAAAAATTATTTAATTTTATTTATAAATTATAGTATAATTTTTTAAGTAATATGATATTAACTTTTATATTTATTTTATAAAAATATATTTAAAATTTTACACATTTATTCCTCTATACTTTTTAAGGGTATTAATTTAATGTTATATTTTTAAGAAAAATGATAAAATTATCTCTCTTTTAAATTACTATCAGAACTTTTCTATTTTACTCATTAATTATCTTATTTTACTTGTTCATTTATTTAGAAAATGTTGTTAATTGTATTACTTAATTTATTTTCATTTTAGGTGTTTAAATCATCTTAAAATAACTTATTAATTCATATAATATATATTATTTATTTACTTTTAAATTATTATTAATTATCTTACTTCACTTATTTATTGTCAAACTTTCACTTAATTTTATTTTAAAAAAATAAATAAATAAAGTAAAATAGTTAATAAATGTAAATAAATGAATAAATAAAATATGACAGTTCTAATGTTAATTTAAATAAAAAGTAATTTTATTATTTTATTTATAAATTTAAAATCAAATTAATATTACTTGATTGTTACAATAAAATTTTAAAAATTTAAAAATTTTGAATGTAATTAAATATAATCAAGAAATTTTTTTTTAAAATTCTCCCTAAATTAAAAGATGACGTGGGAGGTTCGGTCCAGTAATATTCGAAGACGTCTGGAGTTGAGCCACACCATCTAAAGCGCGTTAAAAAAGAGGAGGAATCTTCCAGGAACTTTTCTCAGTGTGGCACAAAATTAAAGGTAAGCCGTTGATTTCATATTATATAGGTTGGAAACTTGCTCCCCAAGTTGTTGGCCCAGAAAAAAAAAAAAAAAAAAAAAAAGAAAAAAAAACTTGCTTCCCAAGTTTTACGGTTGAGCTGACTTCAGGTCAAAAACATGTTACGAAGATTCTAGAATGGTATCTAACAAAAGAAATAAACAATAAATATAAAGACAACTTACTCTACAAGTTTGAAAATTTGCATTTTTTAAAATCCTTCATATCAGACAAAAGTAATTGGGAGATAATAGATTTCATTCGCGTATGAAAACAATTTACATGGCAGGCGAAAAGGTTAATTACAAATGCATTTTTTTATTTAAAAACCCATACAAACTTTTTATAAAATTAATAACCATAAAATGCAAATCTCTTTTTTACTTTAAATAATTCATTTCAATCCTTCAAATTATAAGTTGATCATTAATTTATATATGTTAAACTAAAATATCCTTATTTAAAATCTTATCTAATAATTATTTAAGGTACCCAAAAATTAATGCATATATTTTTTACCTTTTTATTTATATTTTATTTTTAGGAAAATCAATCACTTTTTTTAATATTTTTAATTAATAATAACTTAATTCTTAAATTTTAACTCATTATAATCATGTCCTTATATTTTTAATTTGGATGTAATTAAATCCTTAAATTTTATTGCTTACAATCCGGCCCCTTTAATTTCAATAATTTGAATATGGATCTTTATATTTTTAAAAATAAAATTATAAAAATTAAAAATATTTTAAACTTTTAACATTTATAATGTTTATAAAAATTAAAATATTTTATTAATTTAAAATATTAGTAATAAATTTTAACATAATTTTAATTTTTAAAATATAAAAATTAATATTTAAATGATTAAAAATATAAGAATTGAGTTTTAAAAATTAAAATTTAGAAATTAAGTTACTGTAAATTAAAATTCAGAAATTGGGTTATAATTGAATTAAAATTATAAAAATTAAATAATTAATTTTTCTTAAAGCATATAAATATCATATATTTTAGACCATTCTATGTTATAGTTTGAAGAGAGTAGGATCCACGCCCCAACAATTGATCATCGCAAATAACGCTGTTAAAGAGTCATGTGATGCTTGATGAGTTTGCAAATCAACAGATTTATTATCCTCCTTGAAAACATGATCAAACCTGACATTCCAGGTTTGTACGGAGAGTTCTATGAAGTATGATCTTATTTATTACAGCCTACTTCTTCCAATTATTTTTTATAAATCATTTTTATTAATTTCATTAGTATTAATATTTAAAAAATATAAAAAATAAAAGTGTGTAGAATTTTAAATACATTTTTATATAAAAAATCTAAAAAATAATATCATACTATTTTTTTAATTTCATAAAGGGTAATTTAAAAAATTTAAATATTATTTAAAAAATCATATCATGATTTATAAATGAAAGTAAATAATTTTTTTAAAACGTGATTTAGAAATGAAACGGGAGAGTGTAATTCTACTTGGGCCAAATTATAGCTCGACTCACTAGTAAAGTCCTACTTACCGTTCTAATGTCAAGTGCAAACATCAAGACGGAAATTTGGTCAATTGCTGGAAGCCTGGAACACGAAAATTAGATTGACCAATGTCACGCGTTTCCAACGGATCATTCAGTTCTGTAAAATTATTATTCTTTTTTAGAGCAAGTTTCAATTTTTAATTTTCAAATTTCTCATTATAACATACGCAAAAATTTCCTTTAACTTTTTTATTGCAATATAGTTGGTAAAAAAAAATTTTATTGTAGTACGTGTAAAATTTAAAGAGAGAATGATGGTTATACTGATTTGGTTAGAAAAATTATAATTAGGCAAAGCAAATTTTGCTGAAAATTAAATTGCAAATATGAGTCCAAACAGGCGCTAGTGGTCGCTGCGATACTATTACGGCATTGCCAACAATGAAAACAGGGGAGGGAGGAGGGAATTTTGTTTTTTAATTGATTCAATAACTTTAATACATTTTTTTTTTGCTTTTCTTTTGGGGTAAAAAAAGACTAGCTTTCTTAATTAAGACTAAGCCCATCAAACTAATCCTTTTAAATCTAAAAAAAACTAGGACCGAGCGGGTATTTTGGGGCAAAAAATAGTAATTTGAGCTTAAAAGAGCCAACTCTTTTGAGCCAAAAAAAAACTGACCCTTTTAAACTCTTATTATTTTTTTAAAAAATGTAACATAAAATATAAAATTAAATATATATAACTAAAAAAAATAAACATATTCAACGCATTGATCCCTCCCTCGTTCATTTATTAAGATTTTGTTGATAATGTTAGTTGAGTCTAATTTTTATTGTTATTGCTTTTGATATTGCCATTTGATATTAATCCTGAATGTTTAAATTTTCTATATTTCTTGTAATGTGAATTGATTTAAATTTATTTTATTAAACTTAATTTTATGTGTAATAATTTTTTAAGATTAAAAATATATTTTTTAGAATTTTAAATCGAAAAAAGAAAAAAAAGGGTCAAGGCCCTTCAGTATTAAGGGTTAGCCTAATCAGGCTTGTAAAAAGGGTCGGGCCTTGTAAAAAAGAGCTTTGAAGTATAATCAGGCTTATTAGGGTTAGCCTATTTAGGTTCTAATTGATAGATATAAAAAGTACTAAGGTCTTACAAAATAATTTCTAAATTTCGAGAATTCTCACCTTTGGCCCCTAAAAAAAAGTGGCATAATTCTCCCATATAATGCGGGCTAGTGTACATATCTTAGTGTTTTGAAATCAAAACCAAACATCGAATTGGAAAGAGTAATAGGTCGTGATTTTTATGGTTTAACCAGTTAGATCAGCGGTCGAACCGGTGACATAAAAATTAAATAAAAAATAATATTTATATGTGTAAATATATAAATAAAACATTAATTTGTCGATGGTGCTTGGGATCTCGACTCTAAAGGCTAGATGCTTGGATCGTTGGAGCTAGAGGTAGAGGCATGTCAGCACAAGGCCACAAGCTCCTAATCTCGAAGGAAAATGCTAGAGTTGGAGGCACACCATCATATTATGACTCACAAACTTTTGATCTTGATGCCAAAAGCTGGATTACTAGAGTTGGAGGTAGGGGTTGGAGAAAAGGTAGAGATTGAGCCCGGGTTATAGAGGAGAGATTAGAGATTAAAGAAGAGAAGAAAAAAGGAAATTACTAATTAGAGAAGAGAAATCATAAATCTAAACGACTTAGCCTAAATTTTTTTTATTTTTTATCTTTGAACCAGGTTGACTCGGGTTGAATCGGCTTTAATTTTCGGGTCAAAGGTAGTTCTCTCAAAACCGGTCGGGTCAACCCGAGTCAAATGCCAGATTGGTTCAACTGGTTGAATTAAACCGTTTTGTTCAGCGGGTGATGATTGGACCGTCCAATCTAGTCTAATTTCAACAACACTGATATATCCTATAGCTTAGCTTAGCATGGTTTCTTTTCTTGTCTTTCCCCTAATTATTAATTTTTTCAAAATTACTCATAAATAGGTATCTTTTTATTGATTACAATTTTATTTGAAGCACTGTTAAATATTAAATGTTAAATATGAACATATTTTTTAATAAAAATTTAAATATTAATATCTCATGTCATAACCTCTCATTTCGTTTGTTCAAACTTTGCACTGCTTAACTGGGCCCACAGTGACCAAGTAAGACTTGGCCACTAAGCAGTCTAAGCATGGTGAATACTGATCGTGCAAGCATTTTACGGTTACCATGCATTTTTCAACCAAAAAAAGTTATCATACATGTAGTGCCTATATTTAATAATTATTAGCACCTTGAACAAGACTAATGATGACTATAAATAACCAAAAAGAAAAAGTTTTGATACATTTTGGAGTGTAAGGCCATGTTTCGTTAACCATCAAACAAAGAATTTGGTCGTCCAGATTGAGGTTTTGAACCTGCAATTAAGATTGGGGCCAACCAAAAAAAAAAAAAACATCATGTTTGGATAAAAATTGGAGAGAAATGGCTTCTGGCTCAAAATAAAGGTTAGTGCAGAAGTTGCATTTTAGTGCTTATTGAGATAAGTTGCGATCTACCATTAGTAGATTTAAT